TTAGTGATTATGCAATCGCTGAAAAAGACTTTTTTGTAGGAAAGATTTTTTTAAGACAAGGCGCCTTTCCGTGTCCCACCGTAACACTGCAAGAAGGTGATTCATCTCTAATAAAAATTACCATCAGTTCTGGGCTCAGGGCACAATGAAAATATCGAAACGAAACAAAGTTTGGCACTTTTCGGATGTAAAACGCGATCACAGACGAAAGCAGAGAAGTAAACGCTAGAATGATAGAACGGAAGATGCTTGAAATAGCTTTTTTGTGACATCTACACACTGTCAGATGCTCCGCCAAATAAGTTGGTAGGCGGAATGTATTTAAAGAACAAGTGAAAGAGAGAGGGAATAAAGTTTGAGAGACAAGGTATGTTGCTGGATCGAAAGGAATAAGGTAGGTAAATCCTGTTCTGTGTTACATGTCTCCTAGACATGACAAGATTTAATGCAGCTGGTATATGGCTGCGTTCCAGTTTGTAAATGGGCAGTTTTGTTTTGTCGCAGTATTTTTCTTAATAGACAAAGACGGATGAAGCACTGAAGCTTCAAGCGCAATGTGCAGGGTTAGCTGGCAGTGCAATTGCTAAAAGGCAGAAAAAGTATAAGGATTTAATTAGAAGAGTGCTACATTTAGCTAAGAAGTACCAAAACTCTTTGAAAGAGCTACTAGTTTTAATCAAGCACTCGAAACTTAGTTTCAAACAGATGTCATACTTTTTGCAAATTAGGCAAGAAAACAGGGAAGGGGCTGCGGTTCTGGCTATAGGGTATGCGTTTAAGAAGTTAGAAATTCGAGTTAAGCAGCAGCATTTTGACAGTTTGATGAGCACTTAAAGACTTATCTTCTGTATAAATTCCTACTATCAGTAATTCTTTTTTTTTTTTTACAGTCTGCGGAGGCATCATCGCGCCTTCGAACTGAAACATTCGACCAAAGTACTCTAACGGAACAACTAGCCAAAACTGCAGGAAGTGACTTATTCTCGGTATCATTTTTTTTTTTTTTTTGCTAAAAAGCGCATTTTAGAAAAAGAGAAATGGTGAAAGAAAAAGGGAACTGGACGTTCCAAATCACTTCTGTAAGTAGTTGCTGCTGTGAGTTTTCAAGAAATGGGGGACTTCGACAGTTTTACTGAAACTGTTTATGTCGATATTTATACACCACATGTAGGCTGGTTTTTCTAGCAGTCAGCTGCTTCATGGATCAGAGTTATTTTGTGGGGAAAAGGCACGTCCATGGCAAAAAAACTGACCAGAAAGCTTGGATTTTCAAGATCTAGAAGCCAGGAAACCAGGACGGGTTTAAGTTACAAGTCATAGTTGTAGAATTTTTCAAAATTTCTTTCGAGGTAAGTTCAGGCCGAGTTGAATTTGAACTTCCCGACAGGGTCTGATCCCAATTTCTCCTCGCAGTCAATTCTGGACTTGATTAAATTTCAAAATTTTAGCTTAAAAACTTACCAAATTCTATTTTAGCAAAAAAAAAATTCCTCATTATTTTTTTATTGCCCAAAGCGTGGGTAACTGGCAGTGCTTGCAACACAATGACAGCGCCTTTAATAATAATCGGATTAAATGGAAAATGATTTGAGAAGACGTAAAATTCCTACAGTCTTTCGGAAATTGGTTTAATGTTTGTTTTATTTGGATTTAAATGACTGATTGGATTTTTTTGCTAGTATTTTTTTTTTGCAGGGTTCTCACAAACTGTGGGCGCAAGAGGTTGAGAAAATTCGTTTCTCGAGCATATTTGCCAGTAAGAGTTTCATGTGTTTTTATAATTGGATATCAAAATTCACAAATTTGTTCCATACAGTAATGCGTTAGCCACTTGAATTAGTTGAATCAGCGGTACTTCACAGTGTGGTTTTCCATCTACGCAACAGGCAAATTTCCCAGTGATTTTACCAATGCTGCATCATCCAGTGATCAGCTTGCTGTTTATTCCAAAGTACGTTTCATCTCCTGGTGGGTAACAGGAATCGGTAGAAATTTTGTTTTTTCAAACATTCTTGCAGTACCGAGCATCACAACATTGCAGCTCCTACATTTCTCTACGCAGGAGTTACAATTAGGTCCTTTACCAGTTAAAAAAATTTCATGAGTTTCAGAATTTCATTCCACACTCTGCTGTCGTCAGCCTGTTTTTGCCTAACACTTACTCAATTTTTATCAGTCAGGCTCATCTCACAAAATTATAAAATAGGCCTGAAAATCAGTGCTTCGAAAACGAAGATGATGCAAAGTGCCGCTATGCCCGAGACAAGACTATAGACAGACTGTATAAATCTGGAGAAATCGTATATAACTTTTCTAGTCAAAAAGTAGATACGCATCACAGTAGCAGCGCGCAGAAAAGCCGCTGGTTGGCGCAAATTTCACAGCATGGCCGACGACCTCACAGTTTCAAACCTGAGAACTCATCTTATTTCTTTAACATTATTTTGCTGAAGGCAGTAACAAAAAGGCATAAAACTTGTTGTCAATGAAAGTGGAAGAGCGAGCGCTGGTTGTGGAAGAACAAGAGCGACTGAGCGAGGGGTGTTTCTTCTTGATCATGTACGGTAAAAAACCTCACTAGATGAGCAGCATTCAAGACATTACTGTGAGCGCGTGAGAAAGTAAAATCCGATGGGCGGAGTATGTTGCTCGCTTCGTTAGCAGCGGGTAGGTGTCACACATTAGTAAGTGATGCTTGCGAGAAAGTGAGCGACAACTTGGCGTCTGAAGAAATGGTCTGCACATTGAACAGGCATTCGGTACTAAGTGAATGCACGTGACTCAAGCCTGAGGAATTTGACCATAGACCGACAGTTGCTGACCCTTATGAGAACTCCTCATCAGTTGTCCTAAAGTTCTGTTGCCTTTGGTACCAGTCACTTAATCAGCTTAAATGACAAGAAAATACCGCAAATTGAAGCTGATTCAAGCATAATTTAAAGCATAAATCATTGAAATACGAAAATAGATTATTAGCAGCGGCCAAATTCAAGTGAATTGCGCAAAAACTGGTCACAGAAAAGTAAAATTTGACAAAATACGTTTTGACAATCCAGGCCATACTTACATGATGCTGCCACTGTGCTAGAGTGTCCATTAACGTTGCTCTGTGGAAGATGTGGGAGTGTGTGCAGCTCCACTCCCTCCCCTTCATAGTGAAAGCTTAGAAATTGTTGAGGAAGCGATAAACTACTTTACGAAAACAAGCAAATAAATTCACTAATGATAAAATGCTACTGGTTCAGACAATTTTGAGAAAGCTCAAAAGACAATTCAACAAAATTTTTAGCTCTGTTTCAAAATGTTGCTAATCTA